CAGTTGTTGTAATGGCTATGTCGCTCAACTCCCATGTAGTCAAATGCGGTTCCAGTGGCTTAAACTCACGCCCGGGTGTGTGTGCCTGCGTGCCCAAGATCCTGAGAAGAGAATGGAGGAGCAGGGATTGCAGCATGGCCATCCCCTCTGAGGAGTGATTTCTTGCTTTCTGTCTCTCTCTATCTTCCTGGTGAGCACAAGAGTCCTATAGCTAAAACCTCTCTAAAAATAAAAAAAATAATATAATAAATAAATAAATAAATAATGATGTCTCTGCCTCAGTGCCTGGCTTCACTAGGTTCCAGATCCCTCAGAATGCGTAAACTCACATAGCACCAGGACCTAGCTACCCCCAGGGCTGCCTGAAAAAGGAGCACACTGCAGTGGGGTTGGGGTCCCAGAGGTTGCCACATTTTCTAGAAGGGACTGGAGAATGTCATCTCATTTATTGGGGAGCTAGGCCACACTTCCGAGAGGCAGATTCACCGGGTAGTAGTCATAACAACAACTAGTACTTAGTTCTAAATGTTGCAAGTAAATAACCACAAAATTTGTGGAAGAGGTTCATTTTAATTCCATTTTACAGAAGAGGAGACGGAAGCACAGGAAGGTTCGTCATTTACTCAAGGATGAAGAGCCAATGGGTGGACAAGACTGGCAGACTGGCTCCTCCTAAGGTCTTTCCACCACACTGGCAGGGTTTCCACAACAAGAGAGAGGGGGGAGGGTGGTATTAGCAGGCTATGGAGTGCCCACATTTATCTGGGAACTGCCACTGCAGGGTGTGAGGTGGGGAACTTCTCCAGAAAACAAAGGAGGTGATTCTATGGCCAGGATAGCCATGGCCTTTGGGGCCCAGCGAGTTCAACCCTCTGTCAAAGCTTCCACCATTCAACCCAACAGTCATGGCTGAAGGAAGTCTGAGCTCTCCTGCTGGCTGGAGACTGACGCTTCCCAGCGCACTACCTCTTTTCTCTCCTATTTATTTGATTTCCTTTTCCTCGACTGGGACTTAGAAGGTCCAAAGGCAAGCCTTTCCGCTTCCAACACTCCAGGGCTGGCGCGCCTTCACCTCCTCTTGTTCTCTGGAAGGTTAGGGCGGTGAGTTCCCGGTGCCCTCTGGGTGAGACGCTGTCCTGGATGGAACTGGGACATGCACACAGAAGGTCCGGGATGTCCTTTCGAACCCAGGCAGGTACAGTTCTGAAGACTTCAGCCCGCGGGACCGAGTGGAGAGCCCCAGCCCGGGAAGAACCCTGGCTGGAAGTGCGGGAGTGCATTTCTAACGCCCACTCTCAGGCCACCGCAACCCTTCTGCAGGTTCAAAGGTTCTAATGACCGCCTTCCTTCAGAGAGCGGGGTCAGGGACACCATGGCAACCTGAGAAGCCTCTCTCACCTGTCTCTGCGGAGGAGGGGTGAACCCTTCAGCGAAAGGGACGGGAAGAGGCGCTAATTCCGGGGCTAACGTGTCCTGGTACCTCCTCCCTCCAGGTTCTCTAGGATTCAGGGTTGGGGCCGCTCTTTGCAAACCCGCCCAATGCGTAGAGCCTTCGTGCCCAGATTCCTCCCCTCAACGCCATCTCCTGGACTTCAGCCCTTGGCCAGCGGGGGAGTGGGGGTGGGGTGGGGTGGGGGCTCTCTAAGGTGTTCTTTCAGGAGACCTGACCTTCACATCCCGGGAGCCACCCGTTCCCCCGTCGCCCGCACCCCTACCCGCACCCCCTCCAGCCAGGCCCACGGGAGGGAACGTACATCAGAGCAGCTGGAGAGGAGCCCAGGAATTGCTTGCTGATGTGACACCTGCCCGGTAGCGGCCTGGGGATGGGGGTAGGGGTGAGGGTGGAGGGAGAAAAAGACATGGTGCCTCCGCAGTGACCACGTTGAAGGCGGGAAGATGGCACTGGTGATCCAGGTGACTCTGACACAATTGAAATGCGTTCCCCAGGGGCAGGCCAGATCAGAGGGCGCAGGCAACAGGTGCCAACCCATTCAAGATCCCAGTCAGTCCAGGCGGCCCAGTGGGAAAGTCAGGGGAGCTGTCGCCTCCCGCCTCCGCCTCCCGGTCCTCAGGTCTGCCCAGCAGGCTCTCCGAAGGGAGCCTCGAGACCTGAGCAACCGCTGGCCGCGCTGGAGGAGCTGGGAAGATCCCTGCGGGCAACTGTGCCTAAGGCCCTTCATCGGAGCTTAGGGTTGGGGACAATCCGCCTTCTCTTTTTCTTTTGATTTTCGACGTCTACCAGACGTGGTTTGGCAGAAAGCGCACCAGGCTTGGAGTCCGGGAAGGCAGCTGTTCTTGGCAGACCCGGACAACATCGTTTTACCTTTTCTTCTTCTATAATGTAAACCAGTTGATGGTGTCTCTTTCTGGGGAACTGAAGGACATTGGGACGAGGGAAATCTCTCCTATGGTGACCTCCTTAGTGAATCCCTACATTTTGCTGTTCCTAAGGACTAGGCTCTAGCCGAGAATAGAAACAGCAGGGCAAACTGGAGGCTGTGGGAGGGCCCCCCAAGCCTCCCCCAAAATATTGAAGCAATAAGGGGCCGTCCGTATTCAAAAGAGGTAGGGAAACAGCACAGCATTTATTTCCAAAGAAAATAGCAAAATGGGGCTCCATGTACACAAAGACCTTTGGAGGGAAAAAAAAATCACCAATTTTATTTCATTCACATTTACATATTTACAAGATTCAGCTTCGGCTTTCAGCTATATTTTTCATTCAACAATCATTTTCAGTCAAACACGTAACAACTTTTTTTTTTTTATTTCTTTCAAGTTAGTTCATAATTCAACTGATGCTAAGGGGACAGTTAAGGAATCACAAACGGTGTGGGTAAAGAGGGTACCGAGTAGTGTAAGTTTTCAGTCAGACTGCGTGTGGGTGTGCGTGTGGGTGTTGGTGAGACTTATGATTACAAAAACGTTCGCCTGTCTGTATAATTCACATTCACTGCAATCATTACATTTTCCCATAAATTAGTGATATAAACAAACATATGGAGACCTCCAGTAAACAAATAGAATCAATATAAGAGACAACATTTTGCAGCAACTATAATAACAGCATGGGTTACAGCTTGGGGAAACTTCTTTACAAATCATTTAGTCAGCACACACAGGGTGGGGTGGGGGGACTGTCACAGCTTTGTTTACTGAAACCACCTTTAAAACCACAACTGGAGGTTCAGGGGAATCCAGAATAGGGTGAAAGTTTCTTTCACCCTCTATAAATATAAAACAGCACAATATAAAATGAAAAACTGCACATGTGGGGGGAGGAAAGGATGGGTATTTGCATGCACATTGGGGGTCACTATCTTGTAGATCAAACCTTCTGAACTCCATTTGTCAAGACTCTGAAGAAATTGTTAAACAAGAAATTATTAAACTGTCTCTCTCCCTCCAAGCTCTTTCTTTTCTCTTAATGGTAGAAAAGTCTTGCTGATTGCTGCTAGTGAGAAGAAACACGCGATGGGTCTATTTTTAGAAGGGGTGTCTTTGACCAAGCAGGAAATATTAACAATTGCTTGGCTGAAGCCTTACATTTCAAGAAACCTGAACAAAAATATTAGGAGCTGAGGAATCTATACAGGAAGTTCATCCAGGTTACCGAACAAGGCTGACTGTGTGCAGGTCGGAGCAGAAAGAAACACACATGCAAGTATGGACGTGGGCTCTCTGTACCCCTGCCTAGACCCTCTCTGCATTTTTTACTGTGTCTCAGAACTTATGCAGAGCCCCCCAACATCTGTACACTTCTCCAGGATCTGACTCTGACATCCAGGCATTGCTTTTTTTTTTTTTTTTTTTCCCTTTAGCAAGGTTTATCCCCAAAGTTATCTATTGGTGCAGTGTGTGAGTATTTTTTTTTTTAAGTTTGATTTTATCTCTTTAGAAACGGTTTGAAACTAACGGGGCAGAGGGAGTTTGACAGAGAGGAGAACAAATCGCTGACAAAGAACCTTTTACGTTTCATCAGCGTTGTTAGGACGACAAGCAGGAA